GGGGGGGGGGGGGTGAGTGAAATAAAATATATTACAGCCTATTTGAAGAAAACAATGACAATCCTTATGAAAACTACAATAATTGTATTGAATTAAGTTTTTTTCATCCCATGATAATTTTTTTTAGGAAATAAGAAAATTTGATTTCTGCCAGGCATATTAGATATTTTATGCATAATTGGCAATTTACCTGGGGTGGTGCATGGTCATTTTCTTGTAAAATATTATACTTAGACAGATTTTTCCTTCCAATAACTACCCCTTAAAGCAACCTTCTAAACGCCATAAGCATTTCAGAAAGGCTGTCGCTTTTCGTTTTCGGAAGTTGGAGCTATGTCGGCACTGCCGTTTTAGGGCGGGGTAATTTTCAAGACTTTCGCCCCGGATTCAGGTTTTGGCACATATGTAATTTTGACCGCAATGGTCATTTTACCCTAAAACAGTTCAGATTACCTTTGCTAAATAAACTCATACAAACATCTATATATATACAGGTCCTAGACTAGACAGAAAGTTAATAAATAAATGCAGTTTGCCGAACTTAAAAAAAAACTATTAAGAGAGGATGTCCATAAAAATCAAACATAAAGCGGCCACGACTGAAAAACCGATTTTGCTCAAATTTTGCCCAGATATACCTTATTATATCGGAAAATGCACCATATATTTTTTTAGGTCAAATGCTTTTTTAACTTTGAGAAAATGCCGTTTTAACACGACCAACCTAAATCGCCATTTTTTCTGGGAATATATGCGCTGATTTTACAGAAAAATTTCACGACGACAACCGTTTCTAATCGATCTAAAACCCTAAAAATCTTGTTTTCGGTTATTCAAAGGACTGTGTGCATGACTTACAGGAAATCTGAGTTACTTTTAGGAATAGAAATAATCGTAGTTTTGGAGCACACTATCTTACTTCATTTACGATACCCTCTTAACAAAATCGATTTTCACCATGCGATAAAGCTCCAAATCGATCATGCTTCTACTAGTTGGCTCTTTAATAAACAAGCTTTCAATTGACGTAAATACTTCTTTTGGCAAATGAATACGCGATAAGCGACAGCGCGTTGAAATCGTCCGTTTTTGACGTCTTGCAAGTCAAACGCTGTTAATTTATACACCGTCGAAGTAAACAATTTAATCAAGTATTCTAAGTATTTTACCTTTTGAGAAAAAACATATTCTTGAATGGGGACTTTTCGCTTTGCTAAGTTTAAAAGTGGTCCAGAAATCCCGGTATATTTGTAAAAAAAATCATCAAACGTCGAGTATTTTGAGACATAATTTGTTGACAGTTGCATGATATTAACTTCAGATCATTATTCAACGTGATCTACGACCCGGCCGTTTGACTTTAGCGCTAACATATACAAATCGATGAGCTATTTAAGGATTATATTTGCTACTGAATTCCCCAAAAGAATTGGAACTACAACTGCTGTTTTCAGAGGTTTTGATCCATTTTGTCCATATTAATGTACCATTTTATTTATCGACTGATGTTTACAAATACGTAAGTTAATTATTAAGCAGCTGTTAGCGTGCGTGTATATGTGAAATGAACGTTTTTAATGTTTATCCATATAAGGAGTTTTTATTTTTAGTTTACCAGCCCTTATATTTGAATAGTCGTTTTCTTTCAAGTTGTTTTCTTTTTTATACTCAGCAAAGTTGATTCCGAAATGTTAAGGTATTCGAAAAAACTATCGAACTTTTCCATGATATTTACAGGCTTCTCCCCCACCCCCAAAACGAACATATGACGTTTCTTGTGGAAAAAATCGATATGTGAGGCTTCCCTAAAACTGCAAGATTTACACTATTGAATTAAAATTCCACAGACCACAACGATTATACGTATTGATTGTTTCTTGACGATAGTAGACGCGTACGAGCATGTTGCGGAAGAGGTTATTTCGCTGGCCTCAGAGTGACAAAAGGTACCCTAGGCCTGGTTCTAGAGGTTTAAAATAATAAACCTCTGTTTGAAAGCGGCAATTAATTCATCGAGCCGCGCCAATCAGCTTGAATTAGGGTAGATAGTTATGATAAGACAACGGCGGCGCCAGGGCCGCCCATGCAGGGAGGCGGCAAAGGGAGCAATTTTCTCCGCGACCCCATCTCAAGGAAAACAGGCAGATACAAATTTGCAAGGCGATAAAAAGTTTGTCGACGGAGGGGGTAATTGTGGTTCACTGGGGCCCCAAGGGTATAATTGGCCCTGGGGCCCATATTTCACTGAGCTGGTTTGGGCTGCGCCAGTATTTCTCCGAAGGGGGGAGTCATCAGTGCCCTCTTTTTATCTTAGTCAATTGGCATTAAACCCGCAAGAACTACCGACAAGTGACCTGCAGGGCCGGATTAACGTCGCGCGAGGCCCGTGGCAAATTTTAGCGCGAGGCCCCCAAACCTCCCCCTTTCTTCTTTTTATGAAAACCATTGAATTTAAAGACACACAAAAGTGTTAAATAATTTTTTTCAATATTTCAATTTATTTGCATGAATTATAAACGAGATAATTGGCCTGCCTGGCGCAGTTGGTGGGTATAAACAGGATCATAATATAACAGCTCAACGCAACTAAAGATTATATGAACACGAGTATTGCATATTTTCCCGGGGCCGTGCTAGGGCGAACTGCCAAGCCTAGGGGCCCTAAATGCGCGAAGTCCCTAAATTCGCGAGGCACCTAAAATGGGTGTGTCCCGATAAAAAATAGCCGTGTTCTCGTAAAAATGGGCGTAGCACAGTAAAGCGCGAGGCCCACGGCATTTGCCGTATTTGTCACGTGGTTGATCCTGCGTTAAACGAGCAACAAGCTTTCATTTTCTTTAAACGCGACGTGTGGGGAGACAATAATAATTTGTGGTGTCGCACTGGGCCAACATATCTCAATGCTGTATTTTTGGGTACTAGTACTTGTGAAATATAATAAGATCAATAGACATTAGTGTATCAAAATAAAGTAATTTTACTGATTATTTTGACTGTGCATCAAAGTCAACACACATTATTCTAAAATACAGTATTTGCTACAGGCCTAGAAAATATATTTCTCTTAAAAATAAAAATTTCCTGTGTAAGTCAAACATAAAACTTCCTGTTTATGCAGATTTCAGAGAACGTATATGTATGGTGCCGCGCCGCACAATTGTACATTGTGGCAAACTTCAATCTCGGCGCAATACAGATATCCATTGAACTATAAATAAACTGGAAGGCTAACTGCTATGATGAAGGCCTATGATTTGATGAAGCCAAAATAGTTTTTTGAGTTATGAGCAGAAATACTTGACCCCAAACGTTGGGCTATATATCAAATTGAAGCTATTGAAAATTGCTATTCGGTGTGGAAATTTCAAAAATATTTTAACTAGAAAATACATGCATGCAGAAACCCTCGCCTTGCTGACAAAACCGTTGTATTTTCCGAACAGGAAGTATCTAGAGTAGTTGTCATGGTAACACGATAATTTTTTAAGAATATTCTTACAAATGAAAATAAAAAAATCACTTTTAATTACAAAATTATCAATTTCCCAACATATATATGTTAGGTATGTAATTATACGTAATACAAGCTTCAATTTAAGGTAAAATTCAACCACAAACAATTCACAAAACGTTTTAAAGTGTTCTTTATAAAACTAAACTGCCTTTAACTATTAAATGGCTTTATCGATAAACTTTGATTTTGCAATAAAATTATTTCAAATTCTCGCTTGCAAATGACTTTGCTTTATTTTTTATTTAAAAAATTCAATATAATAAAAAAGGGAATCAATATTAAAGATACACTGAAATTATATGCTGTCTTGTTTAGTTGTTTCATATACGCAAAGGCCGTCGGGTTTTAAAGCCATTATAAAATCAATATTTAAAACAAACTTACCTTCGTTAACGTCGGTTCCCTTCTTTTAGCTGATTCTTTCGCCCTTTCTTTCTTGAAATTTACAAAATCTTGCAGAAATACGAGCAAAAATGAAGAATATTTGCAAGAAATTTATCAATCATCAACTCATCAAATCAAGAAATGTTTGCTAATTCGCTGTCGTCATGCAGCCGTATGGTGGCCGAGCGTTGCCATTCGTTTTTTTTGTACATTTTACATTATTTTAAAGATTTTTTTACTTTTTATTTTTTTAACTAAAATGAAAAATAAAAATAAATTAAAATGAAATACAAAATAAATTAAAATGAAATACAAAATAAATTAAAATGAAATACAAAATAATTTACAATTAAAATTAAAGTAAAAGTGAATTTCACCATGGCCGAGGGCTGCCACTACCAAAATATTCTTTATAAATTTTTTTTAATTAAAGTAAAAAATAAAAATAAATTAAAATGAAAAATAAAATAAATTAAAATGAAAAATAAAAGTAAATTAAAATGAAATACAAAATACTGATTTACAATTAAAATTACAAAGTAAAAGTGAATTTCACCATGGCCGAGGGCTGCCACTACCATAATGCACAGCGACCCGAGAGCTGACTCATTAAAATTCCTTTGTTGTGACAAAATGGCGGGCAATTCTGATATCAGAGAAGCACCTTGGAAAGATGATGAAAATCTTAAAGAAGCTTTGTCAAATTATGTTCAGCAAGGATTAAAAAGAAGTGAGGTACTAGACTTTGTTACTCGCGACTTTCCTCAATATACGTGGAGTCTCAGGTCGCTCGATAGACGTCTTCGCCATTTCGAGTTGTTTTATAATGACCAAAATATTGGAGTCTCGGATGTAATCGAAGCGGTGCAAACTGAATTGAACGGCCCGGGTATGCTTTTAGGTTACAGGGCCATGCACAAAAAAATCAGGATAGAACATGGTCTTAATGTTACAAGGGATAAAGTCTATGATGTGATGACCGAGCTTGACCCAGAGCGACTTGAAATCAGAGGTGGCGTTGGTGGCAAGAAGAAAAGAAAGAAGGGGCATTTCACGACAAAGGGAACGAATTGGATGCATGCACTTGATGGTCATGATAAGCTGATGGGATATCAAAATTCCAATTTTCCATTGGCTATCTATGGATGTATTGACACTGCCAGTAGAAAGCTGTTATGGTTAAGAGTTTGGATATCCAATTCTGAACCAAAATTAATTGGGAAGTGGTACCTTGAATATCTCTATGAAACGAGAATAATATCAGCCATGCTGCGAGTGGACAAGGGTACTGAGACTGGTGTCATGGCAACCACACATGCTTTCTTACGAAGTAAACATGGAAATATGGATCCACATGAAACTGTTGTCTAATGTCTATGGCCCTTCCACCTCTAATCAGGTAAATTTTCTATTTAATTGCTAAAATTTATTTTTTATTTCATTTTCTACATATTTTGTATATTTTTTATTTCATTTACATACTCAGCAGCAATCATGCAAGCCTTTAATATTGATTATAGACCCAATGTACTTAATCACGGACAAGATTTAATTTCAATCCAATTTTTATTCATATCATTAGCACTGATGAAGATCCGGGCTTACGGATCGAAAGCTTTGCAGTAATAAATTTACGTGGTGTTTCCACAAACAATAGTATTATATGTTTAATCGCCATGCAAACCTACAAAGAACTTATTACTCACCTGGGACACCTGTGCCCGGGCTCTGTAGAGCGTCTTGTTAAGGTTTAATTTTATGCTGCTTTATTACTTTAAGATTGAAAGGTGGTGGAAGGAGTTACATGAAAGAATGGAAAAGTATTTCAAAGGTCATTTGAGATTGCTTAAACATCAACGTCACTATGATCCACATAATGAGACCGACAGGTAAAAATATTAACATTTTTAGTGGTACTGCACCCAAGTGTGTCCTACTTTGTTGTTTTACTCAGTTTAACACAAGACAATGAGAAAATTTGCTTGTCAAAGGGATAATACTGGTTCTTAATGGGTTTGCTTGAAAAATAATACACACCCCTTGACAAATTATGACATTGGGTCATTCCAGAAAGCATCCATATATCTCCCTCACAGAGGGAATTGGAAGTTAATTAACCCCCCAACATGTACCCCCTTCTTATTGTATGTCCTAAGATACATACTAAATTGTTAGAAACAAAATTCTCCCCTCCCCTTCCCCCCTTCTGGATGGCAGAAGTCAGAGAGTTTGGCAAAGACAACGGCAACATGGTCATCAACATAGCATTGATCCTCATAGACAAAGGTGAATGTAAATTACATGGTCTTTAAAGCATTGTGCAATGCCATAGTTGATGAAACTAGTGTGTGATTTGCATCATTTTCACGGTGCATGACTACGGCAACAGTTAATTCATTCAATGTTATTTGAGGTGTTTTATTTGAATTCGCGGACTATTTTTATTCATCAGGGCTGTTTTAGAGGAGCAAGAATACTTAAAGAGGCAAATTAAGTGTAGTAACATATACTTTGGCTGAAATACAATAATATAAGCAATTATATTAGCAATTATATTTTTTCCCCATTGTTGTTCCCGTTCTAGGTTGCCAAGTTCTCTATCACCTCCTTTGGGGGAGGACAAGTTTACTCATCAAAAGGAGACTGCTGTCAAAGTGTTAAGACAAGCAATATTGGTTCACTTGTCAAATTGGTCTAATTTTGGATAAGTTCTTCATTAAATTATTGACCTTAATTTTATTTATGTTTCAAGAATGCTTCTATCTTTTGTTATGATACCATTGGTTCAGAAAGAACTGGATATTTTTCAAGAGACTGTGTGGAACACTCATAGAATAAGAGCACAAAAGGATGCAGTATTGCCAAGTGGGATTCCTAACCACATTTATAGCTTTCCACATAAGTATGGTCTCGAAGGATGTGGTAAGTTGTGCCCTGCTGTATGTACCTTATTATTCTACTCTGTCTAATGCCACATGAATTTCCTTGTGAAGGATAGAGTCGTGCACACTAAAATCGTACATTGCAGCTTAGACACTACATCAATATAGAGTTATCCAACTTGCTTGCAGCTAAAAAAGCTATTTATAATTACGAAGTGCAATCAATTTGAGCAATAAAGAGAGAGAGAGGGCAGCATATATGGAGCCAAGGGCGGATTTTCATAATTTTCTCGGGGAGGGGGGGGGTGCAAAAACTTCAGGGGGTGGGGGTGGGTGGCAATGATCTTGTGCAGGGGCGGATCCAGGGTTTTTGATGACAGGTTACTATGTTCACCCAACTATGCTTCCCCCCCCCGGAAAATTTTTAAATTTGGGGCTCTGAAACAGCATTTCCTGCATTCTGGCGTCACTTTTTAAATTAATTTTATTAATGATTAGAAAATGCATGTTTTTAAGTGAATTTTTTACTAATACGCAGCTCAAACAATGAACCTTTTCTGAAGTGTATTAGCTAGTGCCTAGTGATAAAAATATAGGATCCGCTAATTGCTGACACATCGATTTAGATCTACACGCTTTCAATCCAACTCTAACGACGAACTAAAAACCAAACTGCAAGAGCGTGAATGCTTCCCAATCATTTCCTGATTCTCAATTGCCAAAGCAATGATCAGTGGGTCTAAATACGCTCAGTAGTCCATAATCAAATTTCAATAATAGATTAGACAACATCCATTTTATGAAACAGAATATCCTTTAAATTAGTTATATACATTATTACATGGAAGGTTATAGATTTTCTTTCTCTGGAAAATCTGACAGGTTTATGTACACCTGTCAAACCTGTCTGAATCCATTGTCAATGTGCGAACGCGTGGTGCCGATGAGCACGTGAACTTATTTTTTGTAAGTGTGTTTTACTTTTACGTTAATATGCTGCAAAAAAGCATATATAGAAACATGTTGATTTTAATATTTCTATCTTACTTAACGGTAGTTTAATTTAATGCTTTTAAATTTTGGCAGGGACGGGGTGCACAATTTCTCAGGGGGGGGGTGGAAAATTTTTTGGGGGGTGCGCATCCCCCAGAAAATCCGTCCTTGTATGGAGCACATATGACCATTCTGTAACCTTTACATAGTACCTTATTTTACAGGCCTAAAAGTAACTGAAGAACAGCTGAAGGAGGCAGCTACGCTATCTGGCATTTTGCAAGTACCAGATGACTATTTGGAGCCAAATGTTAGAGCAGAATGTGAAAGACTGATCCCTGATCATGACACAATCAAACCAAATGAATGCCAAGATGCATACTTATACTTGAAACAACATTATAATAGTTAATTTTAACATGTCAATTTTAATGTTCTTTATAATAGATGTCTATAGATGCATGTCTGTGCAATCAAGATATGGAAGATGACTTCCTTGATGCCTCATTTAGAAGATGTGAATCGCTTCTACCAAAAACAGAAAAGATAGAACCTAAAGATTGTGCATCTGCATTCATATATCTCAAAGAAAACTTTAACACAACATTGTAGATGCTACATATAGATGTAAACTAAATTTAAATTAATTTTGTAAATACAGATTTAAACCAAACCCTTAGAAACATGGTAGCAACCAGTCTGGTTAAGTTCTTAATTTAAAGTAGTTCAATAACTTCTGAAAATTGATTTGATGTTTGTTGTTCTCATGTAAAGTTTAAACAAAAACAATCCTTGATAGATGGAAAGAAAAACAAATGGTGATCAAAGTTTGTTCGTTCACTGCAACCAGGTATATCAACCATGTTCTCGCTTAGATAAATGATTACAAAGCCCAGTCGAATTGTAATCAAGACCCAACATTTCGACACTCCAGTCTAGTGTCTTCAGGGGTAATCTGAAGTTACAATCGTTGGCTTCTTAAATACCCAAAGGATGACGTCACCTGCCAACGAGATGCATGTATCCCTCTGGTAAATAGGCACCGTCATCCCTATTCAAAGCATGATTACTCATATTTATATGCCATGCTTCTAGGCATAGTCTTTGACTAGTGTGGCATATAAATGAGTAATCATCCTTTGAATAGGGATGACAGTGCCTATTTACCAGAGGAATACATGCATCTTATTGGCAGGTGATGTCATCCTTTGGGTATGTAAGATGCTACATTGCAATTTTAGATCACCCCTGATGAAGACACTAGACTGGAGTGTCGAAACATTGGGGTTTGATTACAATTCAAATAGGCTTTGTAATCATTTATTTAAACCAGTGTAGCAAGCAAAAACATAAATGGTGATCAATCTTTATTGCAAACACTAGTCACCAAAAGTGGTAAAAGACATTGGACCTACTATGTCTTCCAACTGTTAATTTAAGACTTGAATTAAATTGCCCAATGTGTTCATAAAAGTTTTTTATTATAACCTGGTGTTAAACAGATGCTTGCCCAGTTACTCTTTGCTACCACATTACTACGGATGCGATTTAAAGTCTGATATGTTCTTAAAAGACATTAATGAATCTTCTAAGAGTAACTAACAGATAATGTCGATAATATCAAGTTTTAGGTGTCTTTGTTATACACCAAACTGAAATAAGAACAATGTTTTAAAGATACATCATTACTTTCCCCTAACAGCAGTTTGTGTATTCTTTCTATACAAGTACTTTAAGCTTCAGAAGCTCACAGTACTCATTACATCTATGAATGAGTTTAAATTTTGCAATTGCTTCAAATGACAAATTCCCTGTGGTAAAAAGTAATTCTTTATTTTCATCAAAGAGGGAAGATGATGCAACTTCTGGGTCTACAAGGGAGTAGCCACATCCTTGGATATCTAACACCATTACCTGATTGTTGGATTTTTCAAAAGAAAAATGAGAAAGACACTCTGCTTTCTGTAATATAACTTCGTTGACATTCTTGCACAATGTGCCATCATTGTTTATATACTTACTAAACTCTCCATCTACAAACTCTTCAACTGTGACAAATTCGTCACCTTTTTTTCCTAAGTAGACACTCCCATAATGAAAACAATCACCAAAAGATTCTTGCATGCCATTTTGCTCAACACTTGTCTTCAGTTGGCTTGCAAAGTTCTGGGCTAAGCTGTGCATTTGTACAACCTTCTTTGTATGGGTTTCGAGAGTTTGATTGGTCTCAGCAATGACATCCAATGCATTTTCATTATATTCTTTGACTACCCATGAACCAGCAAAGCTCTCATCTTTTGATTCTGCTTTATAAGCTTTTCGGAATGCACCTTCTCCGAGCACATCTTCTGAAACACTAAATTCAACTGCCCTTGGTGAAGACGACCAGCTCATATCTGCCAAATTAAATCCATACAAGTGGATGGTAGTGGTAGACTTGTTTATAAGTTTACCTAGTTTCAACATATGGGTTACCGAGAGACTCTTGGGCATTGGTGTTGAGATTTTAGCTTTTTTTGGACTTGGAACAGAGTTAGGGCCCTTTCGCTTTACAGTTGTGCTTTGCGGATGAACTGGGTCAGTATCATCAACGAATACAGGCGCATCTGCTGTCGAGCTTTTGTTTATGAATCTGACGTATATAAGATTCATATTAGGTATTTGCTTCAAGGATGCGCAGGAAGGTCCTTGCTCACCGGCAAGAATATCACATACAACATTGTTTCCAACCTTCGGTTCAAAATGTTTCAGGCATGCATCCTTCACTCGTTCAATTGTCATCTCTTCTTTTGTATAAAATCGATCTAGATCTTCATCGTCGTCGTCATATAACTGGACAAATTCCCTTGGGCCGATACGTGAATACTTTTGGGCCTTGCCCGACACGTCCGCGCTTAACATTTGAACTGTTATTTCACGTTTGGAAACATCTTTCCCTTTTTGGCTCTTCCCACTCAAGCGTTTTTTTTTCATATCTTCTTTGAACTTTCGCCATTTCTCCGCCATGTTGCCTTCCGCGCGGGCAAAGGTTCATGGGATGTTATGATAGCGCTCGGCCCACTGGCTCGGCCACTGCTCGGCTCATGGGAATTTCTCTCGGGTCGCTGTGCATTATGGTAGTGGCAGCCCTCGGCCATGGTGAAATTCACTTTTACTTTGTAATTTTAATTGTAAATCAGTATTTTGTATTTCATTTTAATTTACTTTTATTTTTCATTTTAATTTATTTTTATTTTTCATTTTAATTTATCTTTATTTTTCACTTTAATTAAAAAAAAATTATAAAGAATATTTTGGTAGTGGCAGCCCTCGGCCATGGGGAAATTCACTTTTACTTTAATTTTAATTGTAAATTATTTTGCATTTCATTTTAATTTATTTTGTATTTCATTTTAATTTATTTTGTATTTCATTTTAATTTATTTTTATTTTTCATTTTAATTAAAAAAATAAAAAGTAAAAAAATCTTTAAAATAATGTAAAATGTACAAAAAAAACGAGTGGCAACGCTCGGCCACCATACTGCTGAGTACAACGCGCAGAGTTTCAGCTCGATTGGTCCAATAGTTCGTGAGATATGACAAAATGTTGAAAAAACTTCTTTTTGCAAATTGGAGAATAACAGTGCTAATCGGTCGCCCGCAACCTGCTGAGCACAACGCGCTGAGTTTCAGCTCGATTGGTCCAATAGTTCGTGAGATATGACAAAATGTTGAAAAAACTTCTTTTTGCAAATTGGAGAATAACAGTGCTAATCGGTCGCCCGCAACCTGCTGAGCACAACGCGCTGAGTTTCAGCTCGATTGGTCCAATAGTTCGTGAGATATGACAAAATGTTGAAAAAACTTCTTTTTGCAAATTTTTAGAATAACAGTGTTAATCGGTCGCCCGCCACCTGCTGAGTACAACGCGCAGAGTTTTCAGCTCGATTGCTCCAATAGTTCGTGAGATATGACAAAATGTTGAAAAAACTTCTTTTTGCAAATTGGAGAATAGCAGTGCTAATCGGTCGCCCGCAACCTGCTGAGCACAACCCGCTGAGTTTCAGCTCGATTGGTCCAATAGTTCGTGAGATATGACAAAATGTTGAAAAAACTTCTTTTGCAAATTGGAGAATAACAGTGCTAATCGGTAGCCCACAACCTGCTGAGCACAACGCGCTGAGTTTCAGCTCCATTGGTCCAATAGTTCGTGAGATATGACAAAATGTTGAAAAAACTTCTTTTTGCAAATTGGAAAATAACAGTGCTAATCGGTCGCCCGCAACCTGCTGAGCACAACACGCTGAGTTTCAGCACGATTCGTCCAATAGTTCGTGAGATATGACAAAATGTTGAAAAAACTTCTTTTTGCAAATTGGAGAAGAACAGTGCTAATCGGTAGCCCGCAACCTGCTGAGCACAACGCGCTGAGTTTCAGCTCGATTGGTCCAATAGTTCGTGAGATATAACAAAATGTTGAAAAAACTTCTTTTTGCAAATTGGGGATTAACAGTCCTAATCGGTCGCACGCAATCTGCTGAGCACAACGCGCTGAGTTTCAGCTCGATTGGTCCAATAGTTCGTGAGATATGACAAAATGTTGAAAAAACTTCTTTTTGCAAATTGGGGAATAACAGTGCTAATCGGTCGCACGCAAACTGCTGAGCACAACGCGCTAAGTTTCAGCTCGATTGGTCCAATAGTTCGTGAGATATGACAAAATGTTGAAAAAACTTCTTTTTGCAAATTGGAGAATAACAGTGCTAATCGGTAGCCCGCAACCTGCTGAGCACAACGCGCTGAGTTTCAGCACGATTCGTCAAATAGTTCGTGAGATATGACAAAATGTTGAAAAAACTTCTTTTTGCAAATTGGGGAATAACAGTGCTAATCGGTCGCACGCAAACTGCTGAGCACAACGCGCTGAGTTTCAGCTCGATTGGTCAAATAGTTCGTGAGATATAACAAAATGTTGAAAAAACTTCTTTTTGCAAATTGGGGAATAACAGTGCTAATCGGTCGCCCGCAACCTGCTGAGCACAACGCGCTGAGTTTCAGCTCGATTGGTCAAATAGTTCGTGAGATATGACAAAATGTTGAAAAAACTTCTTTTTGCAAATTGGAAAATAAACAGTGCTAATCGGTCGCCCGCAACCTGCTGAGCACAACCCGCTGAGTTTGAGCTCGATTGGTCAAATAGTTCGTGAGATATGACAAAATGTTGAAAAAACTTCTTTTTGCAAATTGGAAAATAACAGTGCTAATCGGTCGCCCGCAACCTGCTGAGCACAACGCGCTGAGTTTCAGCACGATTGGTCCAATAGTTCGTGAGATATGACAAAATGTTGAAAAAACTTCTTTTTGCAAATTGGGGAATAACAGTGCTAATCGGTCGCACGCAAACTGCTGAGCACAACGCGCTGAGTTTCAGCTCGATTGGTCCAATAGTTCGTGAGATATGACAAAATGTTGGAAAAACTTCTTTTTGCAAATTGGAAAATGACAGTGCTAATCGGTTGCCCGCAACCTGCTGAGCACAACGCGCTGAGTTTCAGCTCGATTGGTCAAATAGTTCGTGAGATAAGACAAAATGTTGAAAAAACTTCTTTTTGCAAATTGGGGAATAACAGTGCTAATCGGTCGCCCGCAAGCTGCTGAGCAC